CTACTATATATATATATATATATATATATAGATAGATAGATATGTATGTATGTATGTATCCAACCAATGTTCCGAAATGGAAGATGTCAATCTCCGACATCCAATGGTTGAGGTTAGATGTTGATTGGCTAGTTAGGGCAGTGTCCTAACATCCAGGAAAGGCTCACTGGCAGCCTCGGGATCACATGGGATATGTGTTACGAGAGTCATCATCATCATCCGTTAATGCAATCCTCAGAAGTAAATCTCTTCCATCACCATTCAATCTATTCATTGGACAGCAATGACTCTCATTACCATAGATGCTGTGTGTTCTTGAGGGCTTAGTAATATATTTCTAACATCCAGCAAAGAACTACATTTCAAGGGAAGCATGCATCCTTTCAATTATCACATTAATGTGCTGGTCATATTCTTCTCTGCATTTCATTGCATATTGGAAATTGTTGATAAATGCTCAATTTTTGGCTTACTTACCAAAAAAGAAATATTATCATTCTTGTGGAAAGATGGGGCCGTGGTCGAGGAGGTTTCCGGCGTGGTGGACGAGGAGGACGTGGGCGTGGAGTGGGAGGTCGAGGTCGTGGACGAGGCCGTGGAAGAAATCAGGCTCCTCCTCCAAAATCAGCTGATGAATTAGACAAGGAGTTGGAAAGTTATCATGCAAATGCCAACTAAAAGCATCAGCCTGCTCAGTTTCCTTTTTAACCTGTGAAGAAGACCAACTTCGTTTGCCCTTTTAGTTTCTTGAGAAGGATTAAGGCATATCTTCATTTACCAACCAACAAAAAAAAAACAGTAGTATTACTTCTCCATTTTGGGTCAGCGGATAATTTTCCATGTGTATTAGCATCTTTTAGTGATTGGTTGCTAGATTGAAATATGAAAAAGTAGACAGCAGAGAACAGTATATGAACTTTTTTGAGATTAGCTTTGAGGCATTGTTGCTGATGATTTCTGCCAGGTTCCACAGGTTACTGTGTATGGAAATCTATTTCTAGAGATTTTACCAAAATAGATTTTTACTTTTTTTGTTTATCCTTTATTTTACCACTAGAAATGGGCGTGATGATTTTTGTTTCATGATTGTTTTAAATCCCATCATTTACAATGGCTGGAACTTACAGTTTGACATATTAGTTGCTAGGCATTTGATGTTACTTGATTATGCATCTCCTTATGGTCTGATCGGGTGCTTTTGAGGGGACCCAGGCTGTGTATAGGATTGAGAAGCCAGGAAGCAATCCTAATATTTTACCCTTGTATTTTAGCTTCATTAGGAATATGTACATGTACAAATATCGATTGCTGATCCATTTGTGCGTGCTTATGAGCCTAGTTGCAGTAGTGCTATGATGGCAACGGTGAACCTTTTTATGGAATATGTATTTATGCAGGAATTCAGCAGGCGCATTGTTATGTAAGTATTGAATTTATTTGTTGGCTCCAAAGCTTTTCTTTCCTTGAATATTCTTGTAAATCAATAATATAGGGAGATTTATCAAAATACCCATTAGAAATAAACTTAAGCATTTTTGCCCTATTTTTTGATTTAATAAAAGAAACATGATTGAGTTGAATTTGTTTGAAACTTTTGGGGGGTATTTTGGTTAATTTTTTTCATGTAAAATATTTTTTTTATATTTTTTTATTTTTTATGAATATATGTTTTAAATTTTAAGTTGTTTTGTAGAAAAAAAATGAAAAATAAAACATTATCGGATAATCGTGACCGCACGATGAAATTTGGACGGTGATGATAGTAGGTGAAGTCACTATTTATTTTTGC